CAATTAATTATATATTTAATAATAGATATATTAAATTATATTAATTAATCTAATTATATTAATATTTAATTACTAATTATACAATTAAGTTAAATTAGATAATTAATTTATGCACTAATTATACAATTAATTATTAAATTAATTTACTTAATTATTAATAATTTAAATTATATTAATTAAGTTAATCAATAATAACTTTTAGAGGCTTCTATGGTTTTCCTTTCATCTTCTCTTTTCGTCGTTGCTCTTCGGCTTCGTTGCTTTGCAGATGTATAGATTGCACCCGTCGCTTCTGCGACTCCTTCGTGGTTGTTCGACTTTGCTCCTGCGATGACTTTCTAGTCATAATTAATAAAAAAGTAATAACATGTTAAATACAAATTATTCGTTAATTATTATTTACACTATTGATTATATATTTAATAATATATATTTTAAGTTATATTAATTAAGATAATTGTATTAATATTTAATTATTAATTATTCAATTAAGTTAAATTAGATAATTAATTTATACACTAATCATACTTTTAATTATTTAATTAATTAACTTAGTTATTAATATTTTAACTTATGTTAATTAAGTTAATCAATAATAACTTAGCGGCGTCTAGGGTTGGCTCTTTTCGTGGTTGCTGTTCGGCTTCGTTGCTTTGCAGGAGGTGTAGAGATTGAACGCTTCGTTTCTTCGGCTCCTTACCTTCGTGGTTGTTCGACTACGCTCCTTCGACGACTATCCCTACCTGTCGGATCGGAAGCAACAACGGGAGCTTGCTGGATTTGAAGGTAACTTTCTTCCTTTCGCACCCTTCTTCGGCCAAATCCCGTAAATCCGACGAACTGAGGGATTAGGGAAATCCCGGATTTATGCCATAAATCCTTAAATCCGGGATTTATCCATCGCCGGGATTTAACTCGCGCACAAAAACCGTTTGGCTGGATTTAGCGTAAATCCCTCTGTAAATCCGATACAACACAGACCTTTAGTTTGCTTCTCACATTTGATTAGCGTGACTCTATATGGGCACTGGAATAATATGGAAATTGTCCGCTATAGCTTTCATTGATATTAGCTGCTAGCTAGAAAGTTCAGTCAGATTCGAAATTACATGTTTTTTCCTTAAACTTTAATGAGTAGTTTGATTCACCAACTTCTTTTGTGTATTGATATGCTACGTTATTAGATGTAATCTGATTGACCTACCTGTGAAGTTGGAGTTATTTTTGTTGAGGTATTCTAGAAGTCTTTTGTATTATAGGTGGACGAAATAGGGTGTGTGTTTTGTGTAAGTTATTGCTTAGGAATTTCCCAAGATCTTGTAGAGGTTAGGCTCAGGAATCTCCCAAAAAAGGGAAAAAAGTAAAGCGGTTCAGTTTTTTACCTGTTACTCTCATCTACTTATTTCATTTCATAGCCTTTGAATTATTCACAAAGACAGGCTATGATCTAATGTATTAGTCAACACTCAGGGATGGAGAAAAATCATTAGGTTTTATTTAGGACTGTCCCTTGTAGGTTGGTTATTTAACATAGCTACTTTAGATTCTCTAATTTTTTTGGAATGCTTAAACGCCAGTAAGATGTCACGTGTGCAAATGAAAATCATACTCGAGGTCTTTTGCAGATAGAGATCTATTTTGGTTGCACCTATCTCTTAATGGAAGTCCTAAAGTTGAAAATCTACTATATTATTGTGCTTTCAAAAGCACCATGCATATCTATCAAAGAGGATCCATATAATAAGATGTTTTCTAAATTCATTAATCCAAGAAGCACACATAAATTTAAACAATAAAATAAGTTTTAAGTATTTTCTAGAAGATTAAAAAAGGTTTCATAATCAAGATTAATTTTTTACAAGGCAAGGCCATGGCATGGAGTTTACATTAGCAAAGATGGAGGGAATAAAAGCAATGCATACCAATGCAAAATCTCTGGATAAGGGGGCGATCAAGGTTGGAGGGATTTAAGGCTAAATTTATGGGACTTTCGTAAACCCATACAAAAAAGAAGAGGTAATAAGAAAATTCAACCAACTCTTTGAAGGCGGGGACATCCACTAAAAGAGGAGGGTAGATAAAAAGGGTAACAAGTTAAGAATTCACTGGATTAGAGAATCTTCTGCACGTTGGTAGAGGGGGAAGACTCCCGTACTCGAGGAGTTTACATCCAACCAACACTCTAAAGTTTGAGGGGAAAAAATGAAATTTCATTTAGCAATAACGTGCGTAGAGATAACATATATAATCATGACCTAAAGCCGACAACTTCTCAATTCTCAAACCATCCACAGTGCAAAACACACAAATATTTGGATTAAATTATATAGTGCATAACATCACAAGTCAGCATTCCCTATTTTTCTATATTTCCAAAATGTAAGGTAGTAAATTATCGATGCTCTCAATTTTGCTTCAATGCTAAAGCCACATGTCACTTGAAATCAGGCAATCAACAGTTTTAGCAGTCTGCTCTACCATAATGCAATGGTTCCAACAATGGTGAATTAGCTTCTTTAGCATTGTACATAGCTCCAGGTCATGGCAATCATGAATAATGAATCTATGGATAGTGGCTAGAGTGAAGCAAGTAGAAAATCAAAGAACCAAAAAGTTGTATGAGAACTAACAGTGAACCAGAAATAAAAAGCCATTAGATCATTAATGGATCAATATAGACTTTAGGGAACACACATTTTTGTTTATAGGGATCATCAACATAAAGCATTTTTACAGCAAATAAACTATTGTACGATAAAAACTATAAAATAAGACAACTAAAATAATCTAAAGTTGAAACATTGATAATATCGTAAAATTGCTCAAATTAGCGTGCAAAATTTGTGTTTCCAAAGTGTAGAAATTTTTTAGATTTCCCTCAATTGACCTATGGTTGGATTTGGATTTGTTTGAGACTAGATTACACTCATTTCAATATATTTGGCTGAATTTGTTTGTAAAATCTAAGGCAAGGCAGCATAGTCAGAAGATTAGAATTACCAAAGAAAGAAAATTGAATTTAAAATATTATATAGAGATAGAGAAGGTTAATAAAATTATATGTATGAGATTAACATATGGTTGGATTTGGATTTGTTTGCCAAATCTAAGGCAAGGTGGCGCATGGTCTGACTATGAAGTAGATAGAAAATGAGATATTTAGAATTGATGGGCCCATAGAAAGGGGATAGAGAGGCTTTAATAAAATTATATGTACAAATAAAGATGATAAGATATTAGTTAAAGTTGAAAATATTGATGAGAGAAATTATTAAATGGGAGTTTTAAGTAATAAATAAATAAATTTTGAATATACTATGTTTTGCGCCAAAAAGTTAATTTTTGGAGTTATATTGGAAGGAGCGGCCTAGATTATAGGATCTATGTAGTTTAGTTGACAAACCTCCTAAGTAAAGATTAAGGTTTTGTTTGGGACAGCTTTTTTGTTGCTTTTTTAAACAACTTTCTAGTACAAATATTTCTTGAATTAGAAAATTTTATACTAGAAAGCCATTTTAGGAAGCAACTTGAAAGTTGTCCCAAATAAAGATTAAAGGAATTAGCTAATTGAGTAGTATTTTAGGCTTTGTTTGTTTGAACGTTTTTTTGCCTTCTCCGTTTTCGGAAATAGAAGATTTTTTTGTGTTGTTTGGTTCGTCAAATCACGTTCCCAATAACTTTTTTTTTTCATTTTTCTACAGTTTTGAGAAAGCTTTTTATATGTGCTTCTCCGTTAGAAAACTCCATTTTCTGAACTAATATTTTTTAAAACTTTCTTTTACAAAAGCACAAAAAAAACAAACGAAGCCTTAGTAGGTTGTGATAAACCTAGGGGAGTCGAGTATTTGAATCATAAATTTAAGTGTGGGGAGAGGATAGTGATATATATGCTTAGAAAATTGCAATGATGTTAGAGAATTGCTTACTTCTATGTAGGAAAATCTACTATTAAAACTATTTTTGTGCTAATTCAATTACAGGAAAAGTGTATAAAAGGATGGAAGTATTAATGTTGAGCAAATATATGATTGAGTATCATGAAAATTAATTTGGTTAGTATTAAGGAGAAAAATTGTTTTGTGAAGTTTTGTTGAAAATTTTCGTTACATATAAATGTTATAGAATTTATAGTAGTAACTTTCTTTAGAAGTAGTTTATATTAAAGTTTTTTTTAGTTGTAGTAAGATTATATGAAGCATCAACATAAACTCGTATCTTTTTATAGTAGCTATGAAGACATTTAATTTTTTATTAAAACTATATAGAGTGAAGTACTTTGGTGCATGCTATTTGATGATGGCATAGTTTGATAGTGAAATGTTAAATGAATAGATAATTTTTTTAGAAAATGTCATGCTTGCTTTTGGCAAAATAAAATAGAGTTCATGATATGCAAATGCAAGTTTGTTGGATGTGAAAGGTTTATGCTTATTAATCAATGTGGTTAGAAGATCAAAGAATATGTAGATTTATCTATTTCCTATCAAGCTCGAACTGAGTTTAAACATGGAAAAAATTTTAAATAATATTCAAGAATATATCTAGCTTGTACTGCAAGTGAGCTTTGATCTAGCTTATCAAAATAAATGTGGTGCTAATATTTTAAAGTTAATTTTATCTATTTCAAATTTGTATCATTCTTTGTCAATGGTTTATATTCAAACATTAGTAGGAACGAAAATTAAATTAAATGGAATAATATAATGCTTTGATCATTATGGCTGTTTTTTGTACTTAACATATTTATTAATAAACTTCACTTAAAATGTATAGGGTTGGTATAAATTTTATACAATAACATATAAAGAAAAATTAAGTAGGCTAATAAACAAGCATCAGATGATTACTTCAGCAATCTACCTCTCAAACAACAAATGCGTATTAATGTTCAAGCTTGTTCAATTAGCAAAGAACGGACATAATTGATTGAGCAAGTATGGAGCTATTTGTCAAATGTATTGGTTTGTTGGTAACACTAACATTATGTTATGTTTAAGTATATTAGATTTATTTTAAAAATGAAAAGAACTTTATTTTCGTAATCAATGCAAAGTGGTTATTAAAAAAAAAATGTCTTATGGGTGTGATACTTCTTAGACTTACTTCTAGAAGTAGCATCATTAAGTAGTTGAAGTTAAGACGGTTAAAAAACTTATTGGTGGTTTTGGTTTGCAAAATGGAGTTAGAAGATTCTTCATTCAGTTTTTTAGATGAAATTAACATGTAATAATATGAAAATAGAAAGGATAGACGAACTATAATATGGGCATAAATTGCACAAGGACTTGCAACATAGTAGAGCAATATCACTTGTAGAAGTCTTGAGGATTCATTATTTCAATTCTATATAGTTGAATTATGGTTAATATCATGATATTTTCCACATAAGTTATCTTGTGCTAAAAAAGCTAAGGCAATACTTATTTATTTTATTATTTTCTCATATTGGTTTCTCATCGTCTTATGTGATTCAACATCTTCTACATTGAAGTTATAGCAAAAAATGTAACATGAATTAATATCTGAATACTTTGCAATTCTTTCAGTTCAAACATGGCAGCCAAATATATCATTGGAGCCTTGGCTGGGTCCTTTGCCCTTGCCTATATCTTTGATAAATCAATAGCGGACTACAAGATTTTTGGAGGTCAGTAAAAGTCTTGGGGAATCAAAAAACAACTGGAAAATGTCCAAAATAATATCCTACTATTAAAATATGGCTGATTTAGTCTCAAAATATTATATTTCTCCAATCTTTTCCCAAGTTACATAAATTTGATCCCAATTTATCCCTCAAAGATTAAATTGGGATCACTTATGTTCTCAAATTCTTATTTGGGATCAATTAGTTAAATTAGAGAAATGTGATATTATGAGGTTAAGGCTTCTTTTGGGATAGCTTTCTTATTGTTTATATACAAAAAGTTTTTGAACTAGTATTAGAAAGCTATGTTAGAAGTCAGTAAGAAAGTTGTCCCAAACAAAACCGAAATTAGCTAAATAGTTGGATGATTATTTTGAGCCCATCTCTAAGAACTACTTTATCTTGTTTCACTTCAGTTTTTTGAAGTTATAATTTACGCTAACTGATTCTTAAATCAGGTACTACTCCAAAGACTGTATCTGACAAGGAATGGTGGGAAGCAACTGACAAGAAGTTCCAGGCCTGGCCTCGCACCGCCGGTCCACCGGTGGTGATGAACCCAATCAGTCGCCAGAATTTCATTGTCAAGTCTTCTGACTCTTGAAGCGTGAGCGACTCATTTCATGTTCTAGGCCTGTGAAATGCTATTATTTTGCATCTAATAAATCGCAGAATGGTTTGAAGAACCTCTCAGTTTTATAACTTTCACCGAACTCTTAATGTTCTGAGGGAGAAATTTAGCATTATCTTTCAAGTTGATATGATAATTTGCTGCTTTCTGTTATGCGCCTTTGGATGAAATATAACTCTATGTTGATGTTTGTTGAATCTAATAAAATCATCTGTATTTTTTGACTGATAAGCGATGGTTAAGGTTTTGTTTGGAAAGGCTTTCTTAGTGCTTCTTAAAATAGCTTTTTAATACAAAAATTTAACTTAAAACTTATATTTTTCACTAAAGACCCCATACTAATTTAGAGAGGAATTATTCATATTTTATGTAATTATAAAGACATTCACTTAATTTGATTTAAATAACCAAATTATTAAAATCTGCCTCTTTGATTAATATTTTTGATAAAATTTGACATATTTACATATTTTTTTGATTAATTTGGTTTATCGCTAGATTATTACTTGAATTGGTATTAATTATGTCATATAATCAATGATTTTAACTAGGCTTTATGTTTATATACCAACTACTCTTAGATAGTTGATTTTTTTTTTAAATCGATGATATGTAATATTATTACTTAGCGCAGCTACAAATTATAAAAAATTAAATAAAGTTACAACTTAAAATGTAAGAGTTCAAATTTGATTTATACACAACTCTCCTTGGCCTATTGGTTGAGAGCTTAGGCTTCCAACTAAGAGGTTCAGGGTTCGAGTCTATGTGTATGCGTTGTGTGTGTGAGTTTGCCTTAAATGGCCTAAATGTCCCAAAAAAAAAAATTGATTTATGAATTGGGAAATGGTAATTTTTAAGGTCATCTTCAACCAAACCGTATTCTTCAGTTTGTTGTAGTCGTGACCGTCCAATCGAATGACAAATCAAATCTCATTTTCACATTTTAAAAAATACGACATCAGTATTGACATAACACTACTCGTAGCGGAGAGAAAACACAAAATGTGTTTATATTTGGCTTTTGGGTGGAGACTTACGACGACTACAAATATGTAATAGACGAATCACATTCGTTTCAAAATATGATAAAAAAAAAAAAAATAGGATGCAAAAAAAGAAAAAAAAATTGTTATACATATATATATATATATATATATATATAAGGATTTTATTGCGCTGTTTGACAAATTTTTTATATTATTTAAAAGAAAAAATAATTAGTGTTAATTTTATAAATATGTTAGATTTGAGTGTTACTCTTAAATGCCCAAAAAAATAGTGGCTATAAATATTAAATACACACCGCCATTTTAAGCGGCAATTCCAGTCCCGCGCTCTCAGCTGAGGGAGAGTAAAATGAAGAAGAAAGCTTCGTCAGCGAAATCGCTCTCAAAGGCGAAATCCTTTCTTTCTCCTCTCCCCTCGCCGTCGCCGGAGGCCAGATCCGGCAAAGCGTGCGGATTCAACTTCTTTGCCTCCGCGGCTTCCAGCAAGAAGAAGGCTCTGTCTCCGCCTTCGGTCCTCCGCTCTCCGCGTACTCCCGCGAAACCGCTGTCGACAACTTCTGATCTGAAGGATCTGGCTTGTTCCAGCCTAGAATCTTTGAAACGGAGAGTTGATGTGTACTACGCTGACGTTCTCAAGGATATCGATGCCTCTCACGCTAGAATCTCCAAGAGATTCAAGGTAATGTCTATAATTTATTCGGAATGGATCATTCTCCTTTGTTGCGAGAGGATACTTGTAAATTTTAATGAGCGGTTCTTGATTGTTGAAATTTTAAAAAATACTCCGGATTGTCTGATGAATCATCGAAGTCCTCCTAATGCTCTATGGCAATTTTCCTTTGATTGACGATTGTATTGATATATGGACGAGTGTATTTATTGTTTGTGATTTATTTCTTTATTATCCGGAAATGTTTACTATGATTAAGTTTAGTTTCGAATTTTGAGATAAAAAGTCTGAAAGGATACATCACGGGAATGATATGCGAGGATTAAGGTGAAGTTGGTGCGAGAGCAGCGGAGCTGAATTACCGATTCTGTTGAAACGAGGAGAAGCGGAAAGGTTTTCTGACGGAGTCAAATGCTTCTTGTCTATTGAGTAAGGGGTATAACTTTTTTGTGAGGAGACGATCAACAGGCGTTGTTTGGGGAGTATGATTTGTGAGTAAGGATTGATAAGAGTTATCATCGAGTTGAACACTAATTTATTTTTTTTACCAAGATTGTAGCTATTTGATGGTAACTTAGATGCTTCCCATTTCTTTTCATTAGATTATGTCCGTTTAAAAATCAAAACAGATCTTTAATGGGTAAGTTCTTTTTGTATTCTTTAGACTCTAGATCTGTTGAAGCATCCATCATTCTTCTTAGGGCTGCAGTTTAGGTTTCATAATCTCCTGATCATATTGCATTGAGTTAGTTCTTTTCATGTTCTTAGAATTTCGATTTTGACTTTACTGAGACTGTGTTATTGTTTTTATATGTAATTACATGATGTTAACACCTTTTCATTCTTGTTATGTATTGAATGGGGACTTCATCTTCATTTGTTTATCAGATCCAAACACAAGCATGTATGCAATTAGCGGAGGAAGCAGAAAGGGAATATGAGAAGTTATCGGATAAGATTGATGAAAACACAAAATCAATTAAGGTCCATCATTTTAAACATTAAAAATATAATTTCTGTACAATCTGTCATACTATTATTGATCCTATGTGTTGTTTTCTAGGGTTCGTATGTTGAGTTCATGGCAGAAGTTCAAGCAGCAACATCCCGAGGTATGAAAGATTCTACTTCAGGTTTTTTATTTGACATGTTTTAGTTTCAAATATTTTAACCATCATTTGAATTAACAATTGTAGCTGCATTTGAAAGATATTAAAGACATATAGTAGTGTGACTTAGCATAAGAACCATTTTTTCTATGTGATTTATGTTATGATCATTTTGAAATTTCGGTTGGATAGTGTGCAAGGTATCCATTCCTGAGCTTGCAAAGTCAGCTGAGAAGGCTATCGAGAACTTGCATGCGCGCTATGGTGTTGCAGCAAATCCGGGATAATATACAGAACAACTATCGAATTAGTATGTGAGGTATATCATTTGAGAAAAAAATTACAAAGTAAGTTCAATGACTTTGAGATCCATCTTGACTCAAATTTATATCAGCTATTATTCTCTTTCATAACGTTTAAGCGATTTGGACTCCGTGATATATTGATCTTCTTCTTTATATTTTTCTTCTTCCATTTTTTTTTTTTAAATTAGTTGATTTCTCCTTCGGATGTGAAAAAAGAGGAGGAAGTAGCAGTGGTTGTTGATGAAACAGAGTTCTCTAGTATTCTGATTTTTTTTTATATGGGTAATATAGGAGACAAAATTGGAAATATTTGGCGATCATTTTTTCTTGGTGGTTGGGAATTTTGCTCTCTTTCGGAAGACTAATTATTCTGTGCGGACATCGGACGAAGAAAATCGTCCTGATTTGCTACGTTTTTATTTCTCTTTTACTATGCTTTTGCAAAAGGACAATAAAAGTGCAACAAATATTTAATATTTATTAAATAATTGAATTTTTCATGCGATTTTACTGAGTTGCAAAAACACAATAAAAAGATTGTAGAAATGCATTCATAATTAAATATTTGCCGCCCTTTTGCAAAAGAACAGCAAAAAGACAGTAAAAGGACAACAAAATAGATCTTGTATGTAAAATATTAAATAAGCTTGAGAACATCCTTAATAAAAGTTCTCAGAAATACCATAATGTCAAATTAGATCTGTGTACTATCTATAGACTTTTCCTTTTTATATGTAAAATATTAACTAAGCTTCATAGCTTAACAGCAACTTCATTACAATTACAATTAATAATAGAACTTGTGAAAGCAAGCTAATATAAAAACATCCAAGGACAAGAGCGAAGAAGACAAAGCAAGCTCATGGAAGTTGAACATCTGCAGTTGTGAAGAATGTCTACAAATAAAAATTTCGTCATATGGATCTATTGGAGGCCATATACAAGTAAAGCTGCAACCCCTCCAATCCCCAAAACCAGACCAAAAATCACACCAACCGGCGGCAGACCGCCCCCAATTGGCTTCCCACTGTTCACATCGTAGCGCACAAAACGCTTCTTAGGTGCTCTGCACTGAGGGCACACATACGAATCCGCCTGCAACAAAAGGGATTATTATGTACAGCACAGATAAAATATTTCATGGGGCAGTTCTTAATGAATTTCTTGATCAACTATATTCTTAAGCTTAAGGTTTTGTTTGGGACGATTTTTTTGTAGCTTCTTAAAGCAGTTTTCTAGTATAAAAAGAGTTGTGATACTTGCCTGCTCATCAAAAGGTTTTGACAGAGTGTAGATGAATCCACAGTCTAAGCATATGTGAGTTGCTCTAGTCTTCATGAAAGCATATAGACAGGTGAGAAAAATGACATCAAATTGATCCAAAATGAAGAAGAGAAACAGGTCATGCTTCTATTTCAATATTAGGGAGAATGAAATTTTAAACGAAATGACTTGCCTTTTGAGATTCTGTTAAGGTCCTGCCAAATCTAGGTGGTGCTGGTCTCTTAGGCAATCGCTTAACATCTACCTCTGCACCTCTGGATTAACAATAATAAACATGTCATCTTTAAATGCCTGTATTTGTTCTCCAAATAGATAGAGATGCTAGAAAGGAATAGAGTTGTGTTCTTGAAGAATCGTTTCTTCGTACAAATTTCTTGAGTATTTGAGAAAATGATAAATGTATATTCATATATGTCTATCTAAATAACTCGCAGGTATCTAAATAGGTTTTTATCCACGGGACTCAGCTAGAGGGAGCATGTGATCAAAGCAAACCATACTCAAGGGAGGCCTTGTTCTGTAGGGTAGTCGCTAACACCAGCTTGTGAGTAAGTAGTAAACGCTCACCCTAGCGGAGCTTGCGACGTACGAGCTCATCCTAGGAGGATTACATTAATGATATAGTCATTATTGGTCGGCTCGTCTCAAGGACTCATACATATAGGTCTTTGCTATGAGGACCACTCGCCCCAAAAAGTACTCGCTCCATCACAACAATTCTCCACAATCAAGGCCACCTGCCTTCTATATATGTCCTAGATCAAGCTATATAAAATAAAACGCGCACCTTTAAAGCCTATGACCATGACTTCATTGACTGAGCTCGTCTTTGGCTTGCATTCATTTATGCCAAGGGGACTCAACCTTTACTTTTGAGGACTCGCTTTCAGAGACTCGCCTTACATATTGATTCTTACCAACTTGCCCAAGGCATTTGCTAGAGGGCTACCTTACTCAGTCCAAGTGTATGTCAGCTATACTTGTCACATCTTGTTGTACGTTTTCATTTTATTCAGTGTAGCATTCCTTGTAGACCACTTAACCCTTCAAATAAGAGGTGAAGAAGCATATTTTGGACTTAATGGCATTTGAACTATTCATACGGATGCTAAAGCTCCTCACTTATTCTCTATATTTGCCAATTCCTTTATTTGATTCTCTAGCTGTAACCTGATAGTAGGGTCAGACATCACCCACGAATAAATTTGGATTCAACAACCAAAATGATTCTTACACTTTTTTATGTTCGCTTATTTTAATCCCAAACTTTTCCAGACGATCAATTTAGTTCTATAACTCGCAAAATTAGAATCAGTTTGGTGCTATTATGAACTTTCCCATTTCTCTCATTTTTTTAAAGATACTTTCACCGCTTAATATTGGCTAAAAATAATGGGGATCGACTGTAAAAACCTCAAATCCCAAATTTGTGAAGTTGAGGAATTAAATCGAGCATCTGAAAAAAATTTGGAACTAAAACGGACACAAACAAAAAATGCAAGAAGCATTTAGATCATTTAGATCAAATATTAACTAAAACTGAACTAAAGCAAGCCTGTGCTTCAGCTGCTGCTTCTATCTTGGCAAAATTTTGGTTTCTATCAACCATTTTTATCACTAGAATAATCTAGAGATCTTTCGGAGAAATCGCGGTCAACAATCTTACAAAACTTGTTCATACCTGCTCACAACAAAGTAAACAGAGTCAGGCTTTGCTTGGATAGCTGTTTTGGTGAATCCCAGCTTATCTGCAGGCCAAAGTTCATCACCAAAGAAACTGCTTGTGTACAAAACCTGATCTCCAGACTTGAGCCCAGCCTTCGCTGCATTCCCACCGCTATCAACAGCCTGACAAAATTTCAACAGAAAGGGTGAAAATCGAGAAGAAAGATGATGGATTAAGCTGCTTCGCTTACAGTGATGACAACCCCGCCACCAGATTTCTGCCCTAGGGTTAGACCAAGGGGCTTGTCTACTTCAACCTCGATGTTCTTCGACGCTCCGGCGGTCTTCGCCGTGATCTCGATCCCTCTCCTTTCGCGTAGAGAGATAGTTCTTCCACCGCCGATCCTCTTGACCTCAATCGCAGGTAAGAATCTGCTCTTCCTCTTCTCATCGAGTAAAAGCCGATAGGAGGAGGTTTGCTGCAATGCGTGATAAGGAAGTTGTTGATTTAGCTAATTGACGGGCTTTTGAATAAGAGTTCATTCGAGCTCACCTTGGTCTGGGCTAGAACCGAAGCATTGGAAGAATGGGAATTCGAAATTGAGACGGCGGCGATTGATGCGGCGGCGGACATGGTTGATGATGGTTGAGCGGCAGTCGAAGCGCTGCGTTGCGACTTGGGATTGTGAGACTCGTGAGAGCGAGAGAGGGAGATTTGTACTGGCTTGCGGGAACTTGTGGAGAGAAGAAGATCCACGGATGATCAAAGGGATAGAAAGGTTTGGACCGTTTGATATGGATAGTTGGCTTGTGGTGGACACGGTGAACGACTACTTGAAGCAATGGGCCACTTCAAAAGGTCGAAAAGGGAAAATCAATGCAAGAGTAATAGTTAAAAGTATTATGTGGATACAAATATCATTCGGAGGTAAATCAAAATGTATCATATTATTTTTTTGTTGTGTATCACAACTTTGTACCATATGATATTCCATGCTTTGATTCGTCTCCAGACGGTCCGATATCCGCACAGAATAATTTGTCTGAGTAATAGAACTTCATCTCCTATGAGCACCTTAACCAAATGGAAGATCATCTCATAAGGATGACTCAAGAAATTTTATATCTCATTGAATACAATATATCTTCTATTTGAGTTCTCTAAGAATGTAATGTCATCAACTCATAGCATCATCATTAATCTAATTTCCTTATATCTCAAGTTCTACTATCTTTATCACATAGAACAGCATTAGTGACAATCAAATAAAATTTTCACAAAGCCAACAAACATATTCTAGAGCAAAGTCTAAGATGCTAGTTATGAAAATTAGCCTCGGTTGATTGTGAAGAACTTTTGTTGATTAGGTTTTACTAATGATTTTCAATATCCTCATTCAAGGCTTAATATGTTTAATTTTTAATTAGATTTGATCTAATCTTATTATGTATTTGGTTACTTATAATAATTTTAAGAATCAGACTTTTCATCATGTAGGGCTCTTGGATTAGTTGTTATCTACTATTATTTTTTGGGGTACTACGAGAAATTTGAGGGGTGAATAATATTTATTTATTAGAGAATAAATGTAATATTCTTAACTATAAATATTATTATTAATATTTGTGTTGCGGGCTAGAACATATGCGGCGATAGAGTTAGAATACTACGTCTTAGCATTGCATATATATCCAGCTCACACACAGAGAACACCAGATTTTTTACATGGAAAACCCTTGAGAAGGGAAAAACCACGGGGCATAAACCAGTTGAAAATGATTCAACTAGAATTTGAGTCAGTTACAATGGGCTGACTTGCCTCAATATGTTTAATTTTTAATTAGATTTGATCTAATCTTATTATGTATTTGGTTACTTATAATAATTTTAAGAATCAGACTTTTCATCATGTAGGGCTCTTGGATTAGTTGTTATCTACTATTATTTTTTGGGGTACTACGAGAAATTTGAGGGGTGAATAATATTTATTTATTAGAGAATAAATGTAATATTCTTAACTATAAATATTATTATTAATATTTGTGTTGCGGGCTAGAACATATGCGGCGATAGAGTTAGAATACTACGTTTTAGCATTGCATATATATCCAGCTCACACACAGAGAACACCAGATTTTTTACATGGAAAACCCTTGAAAAGGAAAAAACCACGGGGCATATCCCAGTTGAAAATGATTCAACTAGAATTTGAGTCGGTTACAATGGGCTGACTTGCCTCCGAGGGCGATCAGATTACAAGTAATAATTGTACGATAGAAGTCCATGTGTCAGGTGATGGCCTGACAGAACTTCGGGCCTCAGATGATGGTCTGGCAGAACTCCGGGTCTTAGGTGATGATCTGGCGAAGGCGAGGGCCTCAGGTGGAGGTCTAACGAATGTGAAGGCCTTTGACAGTGGTTCGGCAAAGGTGAGGGCCTCAGGTGGAGATCTGGCGATGGTCCGACGAAGGTGAGGGCCTCCGGCGGTAGTCCAGCGAAGGTGAGGGCCTCCAACGGTAGTCCGGCGAAGGTGAGGGATTCCGACGGTAGTCCGGCGAAGGCAAGGGCCTCCGACGGTGGTCTGGCGAAGGCAAGGGCCTTAGGCGGTGGTCCGACGAGACTCCGACGGTGGTCCGAAGAAACTCCGACCGTGGTCGAGGAGGAGCTTCTTCCTTCTCTTCTTTTCTTTTCTTCTTGCTTGGGTCCCTTTTCAAGAGAAATGAGGGGTCTATTTATAGATTTCTGGTGTGGCATGACCCGTAAATAGGTGAGAGATCAAGGGTAAATGGGGAGTGGTTGGATGGACGGCCAATATTGAATCCCTTGATGATGGCCGTTCGTCAGGCATTTTGAGGCCTTAATGATTTTGGAATTCAGTGATATTGGGCTCGTTGGATTCGTCTCGTCGAGCCACTCAATTCGACTATAAACTCGTCGTATTTGGTAACTCAAACAGTGGTATGAAGCTTCCAATAGCGCTTCGGGTCCTTGATTTGGGCTCGGATTGAGTCAAATTTGGTGTCGTTGGGTTTGTATTTTAGAGACGCTCAGTTTGACTGTAAGTTTTTTGAAATCGAAGTTCATGTGATCTCGAATTTAATTTTTGAAGTTTCGGGCCTGATTTTGCCTCGAGATTCGTGCCCGATCAAGATAATTTTTTATGATATATCAATTTGTAATATATTTCCAAGATATTAAGAATTGAAGAAAATTAAAATAATGGCATTGTTTTGATTAATTATGGTATAAATTCATAAATATTAAAAAAACTTTGCAAAATATGGAGTTACATACATACCATTTTATATCATCCTATTTACATATCTAATATCAAAAACTTTAATAGTATATACATACCACACTATATTATTTCAATATCAAATATGCCAATCATATTTCATTCATACTACTCATATATTTTATTTATACTACTCATATTTGGAATGAAAGAGAATTATGGAGGTTTGTATGTAATATTAATGTTGTAGATCTTAGATATGTAAATATTATAGTATATCATGGTATGCATGCAAATCCCCCTATATTTTATTTAGAGTTGTCAAAATAGGGTCATAGGTCGGGTTCGGGTCCAACCTAGAATTTACCCAGCCTTGTTCGACCAAATCCTAACCTGACATGTTTTTTGCAAACGGGTTTATTTTTCGGACTCGAAATATATCCGCTTCGGGAATATTTTACTAATTTTTTATTTAATTCAATTTATTTAAACCTAAATCAAATTAATGTAAGATTTATTTCAATCAATTTAAAATAAATCAAGCTTAATTCAATTTGGGCAACATGATTTTTTTTGGAAATAATATTTACTTATTCCATAATAATGTTTTAAAATTCTCGTAATTTATTAAAAACGGTTCAAATCAGGTTGATTTCTGGTTTCCGGATTAACCTGAACCGACCTGATTTTACAAACCGGTCGAAATCTCTAATCCGAACCCAACCCGAATCCAATTTTTTTTGGGTTAGATTCGGATCTAATTTTTGGGTTGTGTCAAGTATTGACACCCCTAGTTTTATTCATAAAAAATATATTTATAAAATTAACATAAATAGTCAAATTAATTATAATTTATAAAATACCTGTAACCTGTTAAATACTTGTATTCCTTTTCGTTTTAAGTTTAGAAGACTACAGTCTACCCGCGGAAACCCTGGCTGACGGGAAAGCATGGGCGCCAACCACGAGTCGGAAGCTAAACTCCAGCTCTTCCTCCAATGGCTGCAGGTTTCACTCTCCGTCTCCCTCGCTCCTGCCCTCTCCCACTTTTCGCTCTAATTCCTAGTCTCTAATGGAAGCCCAGGTCAATGGAGTCGAACTCCGGTGCTGCACCATCAAGAGCTGCGGCCCTAACAAAGGATTCGGCGTCTTCACCTCCTGCGTCCCCTCTGAAGATGGTAATGCCTCAATGCTCCCCGCTCCAACATATATAATGCGTTGCATCCGATTTCTAATGCCCTTATCTGATTTCGTAGGAGTTGCCTTGGTTGTTCCTCTCGATCTCTCTATCACTCCTATGCGCGTCCTCCAAGATCCTTACACAGGTCCTAGATGCAGGGCAATGCTCGAGGAGGGTGACGTAGACGACCGGTTCCTTATGATTCTCTTCCTTACCGTGGAGCGCCTACGACCGAACTCTTCGTGGAAGCCGTACCATGCATGCCTTTCGTTTCTACCTTTTATAATAATCTTTTTTAGTTATTGTTTAGTCTTTAACGGGGCTTTCATTTAATGGGAGTTGGTGAAGCCAGTGTAATCATTCTTGCAATGGTTTTGAACAAGAATTCAGCTCTCCATATTGTTTCCTATGGTTTTGTACAACCTGCTTTTAAACTTGTTTGATCGAGTTTGTTTATTTATTTGGTGGTATTTGTGACTAGGTATCTTGACATGCTCCCGACTACCTTTGGGAATCCACTCTGGTTTACAGAGGATGAACTCGGTGAGTTGAAGGGGACGACGTTATACAGGGCAAGTGTTTTGCAGGTAAATTAAATACAATTCAATTGCTGTAATCCGCCAACAATAAATTCATGGTCAAATCTATACTTATGGAAGATATTTTAGTTCATGAATATCTTTTAAACAACGCGTTGGATGCAGAAAATAATTTATAGTTACAATATGATTATAAATCTAATTTTGAACGACCTGCATCTACATCACAATCTACAGTATAACTTTTTCATGAATCTGAATCTAAAATTGAACAATAGTCAAAATTTGAATCTGAATTTGAATTTGATCGTTGTATCATTTCTGAACGTAAACCTTAATTAGAATACAAGTTTAGAGTTGACCATGAAACAAATCACATATTAGTTAGAGTTGATAAATCAATAGAAGAAACCAATAATACAATGAAATGTTAAACAAAATTTTCGTAAAGCAGAGGACCTTTCTTTTTCCTGAAACTGTATACAACTAACAAATAAGGTCACTAGGCATCTTCTAACTCCCTAAGCAAGGTTGAAAACTGAGTTTGGCTTTATTATCTCTGAGCATTAGCAATGATTCAACACTAAGTGATGTCCCGATTATAGTGGACTGAGTTAATACTTAATAGCATTGTAGTCATGGAGTCAACTTCGCGCAAAGAGATTTAATAAAAGCAAATGCATTACTTAATAATCTATTTGTAATATTGCTATGACATCATTACAGCAAACATGAAGAAATAGTTTAATAATTATAAAATAAAAAACCTTTTTTAAGATCACTGGAACTTTGTCCATATATATGCCGAATGTTGGGCAATTATCAATTAATCGCATAACTCAACAAAAGAGCTATTGGTCTAGATTAAAACAATTAAGTATTTCAAATAATGTCTAATTTGATCCCTGCTTGGGTAGTAAATGACAGTTGTTATACAACTTAATAATGAGAAATAATAATAATATTTTTATGTTTTTAAATTTTAATGCATTGTTTTAAGTATAAGGATAAGGCTATTAATTTTTCATTTGCATGAATTATTTCGTATTTATTATTTCTATCTCAGCAACAAAAACTCATCTAAATTAATAATTTATAATATTATACTAATTTGAGTATATTTGTTTGATTTTGTGCATGTCATTGTTAATCCGCATTAACAAACTTTAGACTTTAAGACATTCTGTGTTAGACTTCATGGTAAGGTTTTTTGGAAGTTCAACTACAATGTATAAATTTAGTAAAGCAGCCTCCTCCTCCTCATTAGCCTTTTCCTATTTATTTGGGGTTGTATTTATGAAACCAAATCCTTTTTTTATTTATCACATGCGGTTTTTACTATATGCTGTGCAAATCTTTTTGCCAACTTCTGACAATGTTAGTTTTGTGTGTGAGTATATATATATTCTCATAATCTATCCACATTAATCATATATGCTTTATTACTACAACTTTTTTGTACACGTGGAAACCACTGAAGTGTATTTTTGACTACCAGAGTCATGACCAAGTTTTACTTTTTTTGGTTTTCATATCACATTAAAATTATTAGCCTAACCCACTAATCTTTTGGATTGCTTGAGTTAGGACTTGTAGTTAATGTTCTTAAACTTCAATGTAGGTGAAAAATGAAAAATGTATGACATAAGTCAAACTTGATTCAGACTAGTAATTCTGTCGCTCCCTTTTTTATTGATATATATGTGAAATTTGGAGCAGATATTAAGTTACACCAACGATGGTTGCTCAATTTTTTTGCTGTTAAATCTCGGCTTCTTTAATGGCTACCTTAATGCTGTCTTTCTAATATAGAGGAAGAATCTTCAAGCTTTGTATGATGATAAAGTGAAAGCCTTGGTAGATGAGCTTTTGCGTGGTGATGAGAGGTCTGAAAGGTGCTCTATTTCTTTTTCTAAAATGTTTTTCATGCCTTCTACTTTAATATTGTATTTGTCTTCTATAGTGTTTATTTTAATTTTACTTTCATTTTAATTTAATTTCATGTCATTCCCCTTTTTGATTATTTTCCACGGTGTCTATTTCCATGTTATATGCATCTTTGTGTTGAGGCCAAACTAAATGCTTTAGGAAGATTGGGGCTTGAGTAACATTGGAGTTATGAAGCCAACAATTTAGAGAAAAAAAATGCAATATTGTTTTGAGTATCAGTTGCTGCAGCATGTATGATCTTATTTAATGATTAAATCCATGGCGCTGCTTTTCTTAAGTTCGTTTGGGACTGGAAGGATTCCTTAATTTTGGAACCATTTTCTTCTTATCAAGCGCATTGTCATGCATACAATATTATGGAGAAGAGCAGAACTTTTGTATTCGGGTAGATCTTTTTCCTTGCAATTTCTTAGACTTGATTCTTTTCTGTTCCTTTGATTAAGTAAAATAATGTAAAGTTTCCCCCTATTTTTTAATTGGGCCTGCTTATATTTCGGTGCTGTATGTCGCATTTTAGCTTGCGAGGCACTTTGCAATTTTTATACGTGGACTGATGGGGTATAGATGATAAATATTTAATCCCTTGCATTGAGGACATTTAGCAAGGTGCAGTTTGACTCATGTATTTTCAAAAGATCTGCGCTTGACAACAAATAAGTACTAAATCATTTATTTCACCTAATATGCTAACATCTTACAGTAGTACAAAGCTAAAAAGCATCATACCACCTTCTTACTATAATGCAACTAAATATAAGATGGGGCCAGTCATGAATAATTTTACGCTACAGTTGTCTTGGGAAAAAAACTACGCAATGGAAATGCTGAGCTAAATTTGCTTAATATGTTAGCCATTCTTCTTAAAAATTAAGATTATTATTTCGGTTATGCAAGGGAAAAATTATATTCTTGTCGACAATAAATGTCTGGATTATTGTCTTGCAAAGTAGAAACGAATGTCTTGCAATCTGATGAAAATGTCGTCAGGAAAAAGCATGAGGAAGACCTTTTGAAAGCGATTAGTTTTTTATCTTTTTTTAATCCTTCTTTTAAAGTACTTGTTTTCTCCATATTGGTGTGAGAGAGTTTAGAACAGGAAGGGTGATTGATTGGAGAAATCCAGAAGAGCTTCATCTTCTTTGATTTTCCATGAGCTGGAGGTCATTTGGCTTGGAAAGAGGAGAATTGGGTTGCCTTGGAATTTCCTATTGCAATTGTTGAGAACGGGTGCGAAGAGAGGGAGGCTTAAATCAAGGCTTTCTCATGAGATGTCGAGAGGGATAGTGGATGGAGAGAGAGATATATGGAATAATGGAATATTTGCTTAATTTGTATTCGAAATAATGAAATAACATCAACTAATCCCATTTATAAAGATAAGGCTTAAATTTTAAATTTAAAATTAATCCTATCATATAATTCAAAGTAAATTATATTATCTAATTCAAAATTAAAACAATATTATCCAAATTAAAACAATATTATCCAAAAGAGTAATTTTTTTTGGTAAAATAAAAAATAAGCTTTATAAAATACAAATTTAAAATCACCCATTGTTCTAATATGGATTCATTCTAGAGTTGGGCATAATCGTGAGTCTCTGTTTGGCTAAGACCCTTATTTACATTTACTTATTTAATAGAGATTCTCTAGCCCTAATAAATCCTTGTGATAGCTAAAATACAAATAGAATATCGTATTGATATTGAAAAACCGAAAAAAAAGAAAAAGAATTCTATTGCTGATCCTTTTTTGATACGTGAATGAGACAGGGCACATAGTACTCTATTTACTTCAGCGAAAGGAGTCAAGATTATGTACTGCATAAACTCCCCAGTGCCAGAAGAAATTGTCTTCAAAGAGTTAGAGTTAAGGTTATCTTCAAATTGATTGAAATCTTCTTCATCAACTCTTCTTGTGTGATCTAAGAGTTTGTAGGAGGCTGATTCTTCTAGTGAACTAAATATTTTGATACTTTATAAGCCTTTGCAACCATTACATTAGTAATATTTTGTTCTACCTTGCTTTTTTGTACAGTAATATCAATTGGAAGCACAAGGATATCAATATTATGTGACAAACCGGCTTGGCTAGCCCGAATTAACGGGGCGGGAATAGACAATCGTATGAAGACCACATATAATATTTAATCATAGAAGTTTTATTTCATAAAAGACAAACATGAGCATCATTCATACAACATAAGAAAGAGCCACTAAACATTCAAACTGAAAATTTTGCAACAAATTTATCAAAATATACATCAACTTAAAACATAAACACAATACAAAAACTAACTCCACAATACATCTACTGACTCAACTCATAATAAAAATATAAAAAACCTGACATCCTGAGGTCCTCTACAACGGCAGGTAAACTGTTGTCTTGCCATCACTTTCTATCAGTTTCTCCTGAAATATATTCCTAAAAGTAGGGTGAGCGAACGCTCATCAGGTAATAAGCATTTATCTTAAATTTATGAAATAATTTAAAACATGTCATTAATCATGAAATTAAAACAATAAAAGATTATACTAAACATTTGATAGGCATAAGTTTTAAGATATTTTCATAATCAGTTTTCTTGAAACCTTTCCCTTAAAACATTTTTTCTTTCTTTTTTCATAAACTTTCATAAACTTTTCTTTACCATTTATAGCCTTTTCTTAAATGCACAAAGTAAATAAACACACACACACACACACACACACACACATATATATATATAAAGCACCCGTCCCGAAAGTACTAGAATTTTGTACTAATCAGGTACACATTCAAGTTTTTTGATCATTCCTTTATCATTTGGCTCCGAAAAACTCCTTTATCATTGGCTCTGTAGAACCCCTTTAACATTGGCTCCAAAGAACCTCCTCTTTACCATTTAGTACTCCGGATCATCATGCACATGCAAATCAATATATACACATCATAGAGACTAAATTGTTCAGAAAATCATATGTTCTTCAAAAGTTTTCATGTATAATTCGATATCAGTTATGCCTTGAATTTTGTTTTTACAAGATTAACATTTCTAATACCATAACATGAATATAAACATAAATGTAAAAGTAAAACAATTACAGAAATTCATAAATATTAACATGTGAAAATTTCATCAATAACCATAACATTTGAAAGTACAATATTAACTTAATTTAAATTCATAAACTTAATTTAAATGTCAATACCTACCTCGCAAGTATCGCAAAGCAATCTCTATGATGTATGACGTTGCTTAGACACGTGTGGTCCCCGTAATGTTCAAATTAAGATTATACATAAGAAAATGTCAACAATAATTACATCTTAAATTATCGAAACTTTTCATAAACTTATTCATTTTCAATTAAAAGATATTAAATTTTCTTATTAGCCACCATAATATTTTATAATAATTAATATTAATTTTTGGATTTATTAAATACCCAAATTTTTGGAAACCTAAATTTTATTTTTCACATACTGAAATCATGCCAAAGTTTCCCCTAAATTTAATTTAATAATTACCTTAATCATTTTCGGAATTATTTAATAAGAAAAAAATTTAAAAAAATGCAAATGTTTTTAAAAAAACTCAAAATTCCATTTTAGAAACATTCATAGGACTCATTGAAAATATTTTTGTGAAAGCTCTTTAAGAAATTTAAATTTTAGGAAAAATCCTAATTTTCAAATTTCAAAATTATTTCCATAAAACTTAAATTAAATTTCATAAATATCTTTCTAACACCATTAGGAAACATCTTTGTGAAGAAATTTTGAAAGAAAAATAAGTTTGGAGAAAACTCTAATTTTTCTCTTCCAAAAATCTTTGAGATAAGATGGAGAATGCTTAAATTAAACATACATTCTTCTTCCCCTTAGTCACCTCTACGATTTCCCCCAAACCCGGCCGCCGGAGCCCTAAGCCCCTCGTTCGCCTCTTCTGTCCGCCTCCCTTCCGCATTTCGGTTTGGTCGCACGAATGGATAGGGAACGAATGAATTTCTGTCCCCTAATATGAGTGGGAGGTTAGGGAAAAGCCAAAGTACCATTTTGCCCTCACTTAAACTATCTCGACTTTAATACTTACTAAGGGTAGTTTAGGTATTATGAATCTTTCATGATTTTTAATTTCAAATTTTAGAAAAGTTTGTTAAATGTTCTTTATATGAAATTGCTCGAAATTTTACGTAGAATTTTATGAAATTAATTTCGTCGAAATCCGATGACTTTGAAATTTCACTTAAATTTTGTCGCGACACATTGAGATGCGTGCAACGCTAACGATCGTCAGTTCCGGGTTTTACATATTATCTGATGTTGAAGCTTCTTTTATTGAAAGATTGCTCGGTGTTAAATGGTCTAGCACTCTAGCATGGCCCTCGATATGATATTAGATTTTCGTGATTAAATTCTAAAGGCAAATCAATCAAATAAGTATTTAAATTCAATTTCTTAAAATATTTAAGGTCCAATGGATTTTAAGTGGACCTTAGATATGTGGTTCAAACAAGCATATAATCACTTTCATGAAATTATGGTATTCTTCTATAAGCATTAGCTATAACTTAATTTTCATGATATATGTTGTTGCTTGAAGGACCATTATTCCCTCGCCATACATCTCTCCCTCTCTCTCCTTCTAAGAATACTATATCTCGCTTGGCGTAAGTTCAACTTCTTTGAAGGAATTGTATGGAATTATGTACTTTTTTATTTGTATAAATTTGGCTGTTGTTGCTTCTAATTGAAGAATTAATTCAATGATAAATTACCTTTGTAAAGATTCACTCTCTTTTATTCTTCCCCCCTCTCTCTCCGTCCCTCCTACAAATTATTCCCTCACCATACGTCTCTCCCTCTCTCCTTCTAAGCGTAGTATTTCTCTCTTGGCAAAGCTCAACTTCTTTGAGGGCATTGTATGGAATTTTTCACTCCTGCATGCATACTAGGGCACTAATCACATTGTTTTCTCCCTCTAAGAATAATTCTGAAGCCTCTTGCGATTGGAGAATGAATTGAAGGAAGAATACAGTGAAATTAAGCCAATTGTAAGAGTAATGGGAGAAGAAGATCAAGTCGGTGATGATCATTTAAGGCCCTCCATTAAATCCGCATTAGATCATTCTTCAATTCAATCTACATCAGCCTTGATTAAAAAGGAAGCACTTTTCATTTTTTGTATGCAATATCATCCAATTTGGAGCATTTTTTTCATATTCATTTTACTTTATGTTTTTCAATTGGTTCGTGGTTAGCCAAGTTGCTAAAATTTTGAAAATGAAAAAGTCAAAGCAGCTGTTGTTGTTACTATTATTCGGATGTGATGAGGCCATCGATAGGAGATTTCGGCGCGTCCATCAGAGACGACCACGGAGATCGACGACCATGATTGCGAGCCTTTATTATTGATTTTACTTGTACCATCAATTTTTTATATTATGCTTTTATTTTCGTAGTTTCCCATTTTACCCCTGAGGGTAGTAGTTGCTTTTGTAGCCCCAAGGGGCATTTTAGACTTTTGCACTTTATTTTCTTTGGAGCCTATTTATATGGCCATTGTATCTTGTATGAGGACTATTGAATTGTTGAATGAATGAAAATCTCCCATGTTTGTTCTCTTTGTGAGTGCATGAAGTTCTCTTTGTGAGTGCTTCCCCTTGAGATCTCTTAGTGAGTTCTCTAGTTATCTTTTTTATTTAGTTTGTTTTGTTTTGCATGATATTCTTCCCACTAGAAAATTCCTCCAATTTCCTTTCCCCTTGCTCTTGCCGCCGGCCCCTAGGGAATTCCCCACCGCCGGCCAAGTTCCACCTCGCCGACGATCACCTCCCATACGCATCATCCCATATTTTTCCCCAACCTCAAATTAGAGATTTGAAATTTCAAAATTTGAATTATTTCCTAATTTGGAAATCCAAACATGGAAAGTCTTCATGAGTAATAAAATTTCAAATCAATTTAATTTGGAGTTTTAATATTTTTGCCACGTCATCCAATCAAGCATTAAATCCCTTTCCCCTCTCCACAATTCTTTCTCTCTCTCCCCCTCAAGCATGCCGCCGGCCCCCATGGTGCTCCCCCTTCATTAATGCTGAGTGGAACTACGGGTTTGAATACGACCGCAACGGAAGAGTCAACATTTTGCGATCACAATTCTTTGACGTCGGATTTGACTTCGACGATACAGTCGAAGAATATTTGGACCGCATATTGCCGACGCTTGTAGACTCTATTGACGAACACTTCTCCGTCTACACTTGGATTATCAAAGTTCGATCTTCCGTGCCGCCTCCACCTCCGAGATCCTCTTCCACGGCAACGTTCCTTGGTGCTTCCATCTTAGTGGCAACCTCCATGCTAGTTTGGACAATCTTCCGTCGCTCAACTTAGTCTCCGTAGGAAGAGAGAGCTAAAGGTCTCAAGGTGAACAACTTTGTATTAACTGTGGGATTCCTATTTACTAGCCTTTGTTTTATTGTTCCTTCGCACTTGCTTAAAGAGTTTAGTTCTCTTGTCGTAGTTTCTTTGCCTAGCAAATCGAACACCGCGAATTACTTATAATTGACTTACTTTGATGCATGATTAGATAATTTGTGGAGCTAAAATTTAATTCTTTTTTAAATTCTTGTGTAACTCTTCATTGCATCACATCAGGATGTTTTTGTATGCCATTTTGATTATTTGGTGTTATTTCTATACAAATGATTAAGATTTTTATCACACTTTTGCACATCATATATTGAATTGTATTCCATGCATTGCTTCAAAAAAAAAAAGAAAAAAAGTTTGCAATATTTACCAAGCTAAAGGCTGTTACATATGTCATATTTTGATTGATACTGTTACAATAGTGTTATTCATGGATTTTTCATATCTTTGAGTCATTTACTTATTTTTTAACATCAAATCTACATTTTGTTTTTCTCTGGAGCTGAAAATTGTAATCTTGGTGGCTTGACCAATCCAAGGGACGTGCAGTTTGAGGATTTCCTTTGGTATGCGTCTCCTTATTGCATGTTAATTGTGCTTGGTGATTTTGATTCATTATATCCTGTACCATGTTCAATTTATTAGCTATTTGATACATTGTCATTTTATTTCAGACAAGTTTGTTTTTTAAATGCAAACTGGGACACTGAGTCTGAACTTACCTATCTTCTCAAAATAAGTAAGAATGATAAAACAATTGGATTCATCTATTTTCTTTTGTATAAATCACATACCTTGGACAATCATATTTAACGAAGAGTTAGTTGCATCTATCAATCCAAGCAATGCTAGTTGAAGGTTACTCACAGTTTTGGATGAATGTGCCAATAGTTTTTAATCCACAATTTTAGTTTGCTACTCATTATTAATGTTCATTATAGTAGAATTTATATCATTTGTATTCAATTTTTAAAATAAATAATTTGTTTTTTCCGAACAAAAGATTGCCATAGTTTTGATTAACATGAAAAATTTATTAATTATTTGTACTTGAGTTTGTTTGTACTAGCTTTTTTTTTTTAAAGGATAAATTGCATTTATCTTCCTAGATTTTTGGCTTATTGCATTGAGTTCATAGTTTTGTGAAATTTACATGGTTGTCCTACTATTTCTCGGGTGTGCATGTCCTTAGGAGTAATTACTATATTATATGCACAGTTAATAAGGCATGAAAGGATTACTGTATCATTTCGTTCAATTGTATCTTCATACTTATATTTAGGGCCTAATTGTAGGTAGGGTCAATATACTTTTGAAACACATATGAGTCACTATGGACGTGTGATTTTCTAGGGACATTTTATATGCATTTGGAGTTCAAGCACGAGAATTGTCAAGTTAAGCCACTTCTGATTTAGGAGAGAGAAATTACTACATGGGGGACAAAACTGACACTGAAAATACTCAGTTTTAATTTATGATGTACCCTCAGTGTGCCAGACTTTTGATTGTGAGTGCATGGAGACTGTTAGTGGCTGTTAAACAAATGGAGTACTTGAGTAGCGCAATGTTGAATGAGGTAGTCATTAACATGTTTGTGACTTACTTGGACATGTTGAGATATTGAATGGCCAAGAATCTCAGCAAGTCTTAGGTAAGATTTGATTATAAAGATCAATTTGCATCCAACTTGTTATTTTTCTAGTGGAAGTTTAGTAGCTTTCCTTTGTAACATTATTCTAACACGTGGATTTTTTTTCATGATAGCTTTCTTTCACTTGGGGATTTCGAAAGCTTCATATTTTTTATTTGGAATCTATATTTTAATAAGTGAAGTGGCAAAAACATGAAATTCATGCTATAACCCTTAATAAATAATGAATCATAGATTTGCTATTTGGCGACTGACCATACCCATTTTCTTAAGACAATGTGGCGGTGGAGATCTGTATTGTCATTTATGAATTTCTTAGCACCAATTTGTATTTCATCGGTTCTTGAATCTAGTTGGGGTTCTTGGGTGTGCAGGAGAAATGTTGATTGTTCACCTTCTTTGTTTTTCTTTTCCCTCCTTGCATAGAGATGAAGGTCATTCTCTATAGGTTGGGTGCTTTAACAAGGTGATGAGAGAGTTTGTCATTCTAGTGAGGCTTCAGCAGGTTAAATGATGGGCATTGAGAAATTTTCATTGACCGTAGGTTTGATGAGAGATGGTGATGGATGAATAAATAAATTTTAAACTTAAAATTATTTTTATTTAATTTTCTCTACTTGAATTTCAGATTTAGAGTAATAAGCCTGTTGCTCTAGCAATGTTAGGTCCAATTATAAATTTTTCTATTACTCTGGAAACAAAATTTGTTTTTTTTTTTACTTGGGAATCATCCAACAAAGATACTCTTGATAGAGTTAGGGTGTAATTTGCTCTGGTGCTGAGAGTGAATGTGAATGAAATCTGATCACTTGAAGATTTTTGGTGGAAGAGAAGAAATTATATATATATATATATATATATAAAGAAGAAATTATTTTAGTCTTGGGAAATGAATAGAGAGGGTTTGAACATAGTTTTGGAATCTAAGAACTCTTATGGGCTTTTTATTAATAAGATATTTAGGATGTGAAACGTACATGCAAGGATGATTAGATTAAGAAATTTGCACGCTTAATGTTTAGAGAATAATATTAAATATAACTTATGCTGATTTAAACGCTAAGATAAAATGATAAGGTGATAAAATAAGCTTAGGCCAAATCACATGCGTGGAAGTTAAGATTATAGACTTGTCAATTAATGTGACGTTGCATACATGATTGGTTCCAACAAAAATCCCTTTCTTAACAACAAGACTAGTCATTATGTTAGAGTCTGCTCAATCAACTCTCTAATTCTAAGGCTTTAGCGGAGTGTAATTAATAAGCTTCTTATACATAGATTAAGCCACATAGTAGGATAACTAGGAAGATAAGAGATCAGGAAAAGAATTCACCATTATCAGACCTTAGGCGGTAGTCGAAAGCTTCAAATCAGCACCCTCCTTAGACTTCAAAGTTAGGACAACAATCTGGCCTTCCTGGGACAGCAGTTCTGTATGGTAGAAGGGCAGGATCTCAGGAAGAGCGGCTCGAAACTTCTGGACAGCAATTAGAGAGGTGTAAACAGCAGCACGTGAAGTTTTGAACAGCAGTTTGGCACTTGAGAGGCACCATATAACAGCCCGAACAACATTCAGAAGACTCCTCCAGCAGCTTACTCAGTCGGAGGGGTCTGGGACAGCAAAATAAGCCTCTTGGGAATGCCAGACAGCAAGGGAAACCTGCTGTATGTCTTGGATAGCAGCAGATAAATTGGGACAACACTTAGAAGTTCACGAGAGGAGGAAAACTGAGAGGTGAGGGGCTTGGAGGTGGCGGCTAGGGCTGAGGGGACTAAGGGATTGATTGGGGAGTTGTAATGGAAGGCAATTAATGGGTGTTAATTAATTTGGGGAGAGAGAGAGGGGCAGGCCTTGCCAAGGGGGGATTGATTCGGGTTTTGATATTCTTTTCAAACATAGGCTTAATTAGGGAAAGTGACTTAAAAGGAGGATCTCCATTTAAATTCAGAATTGGATAGATGTGGAAAGTGTCCAAAATAGATCACTCCTATTTTAGGAAATGATTCAAATTCAAATAAATTTGAATTTGAAATCTAAAATCTTTCCAAATGAGGGAGTTAATTGAGGGGATTAGTGGCAGAGTGAATGTGGAGAGAAAAAAAAGGGGAAAGGGGATGATGCGGCCTGCAGCATGATGAGGTGGATGGGGGTTTAAGGAGAAATTCGATGCTTGCTTAATTGGGAATTCCAAATTAAGGAGGACTTAAATCCAATCCAATTTAAATTTGATTTGGATTTGACTTGAAAACTTTCCTAAAATAGAACTCTATGTTAGGAAATGTTTCAAAATTCAAATTTGATAGAATATTTGAAATCAAAATCTTCCCAAAAGTGGGTATGTGGAGAAGGAAAGTAATGATGTGGGGTTTTGAATTTTGGAGGCTAGGAGGGGAATAGGCCGATGGCTAGGCTAGGGTTAGGGTTGGAGTTTGGCGGTTTGGAGGTGGTGAGGATGGGATAGCCAAATAGGATGGGTGGTGGGATGTGGAGATGGGCCGAGCGGTGTGGAGGTGGAGTTAGAGTGGACCGGCGACTATGGGCTTTGGGTGGAGGAGGCCGACGGTGGGAAGGTGGAGGGAGGATAATCCGGTGGTTTTGGTTGGCTTGGCGATGGTGGCCAGAGGTGGAAGTAGGGAAAGGAGGGGGATAAAAACAAAGTAATAAAATAACAAAGGATACAAACCGCGAGTCCAGTAATCCACCGGCGGCTGACATGTGATGCTTGGCCCTCTCCTAGGGTTTCTCCTCTCAAGAATTCACAAAGAGATCTAGTGAACAAAAGCTGGAATTTTCATTCATTATTATCATTACCCTCTCCAAGAGGAAGGAAAAGGCTTAAATAGCCACATACAAGAAGGGAAATAAAAAGACACAATTGCCCCTAGGGCATACATAAGACAAAGCTCTCTGATGGGGACATCAGATAATGGAAGGTTTATCAGAGGCGTGGCCGCCGATCTACGGCCACGATTGAATCATTGTATTTTTGATTTATCCTATGTATCTTCTTAATTATGCTGTCGTATTTTATTTGCTTTCTTTAGTTTCCCGTTGTACCCTCTTATGAAGGGATGTCGAATGTAAGCCCAATGGGGCATTAGTGTCTTTTGTCTTTGAGTCCTTTGTATGAGGCTTTATATAGCCCTCCCTATTTTCTTTTGAGGTTAATGAATGATTATTTGAGAATTTTTTTTTTCTTGTTGGAATTCTTGAGAGAGCTTGAGAAATCAGAGAGAGACCCCTCGGAGAGGGAGATTGGCGCATCACCCACCAACCTTGGAGACGGTCGGGTTCGTGGTTTCCAATCTTCATCTTCCCTCAACCCCCATCTCCCACCACCTAGCCGTTGACCAAGGCCCCCACCCTCCTTGCCGACCGACCATCTAATCTCCCACCACCCAATTCTCCCCACACCAATCCCTCCCTCACCCGCCAGCCCTAGCCCTAGCCGCCGGCCTCACCTCTTTCCACTCATCTTTGGATTTCTTAATTTGGGTGAATGCAATTTGGAATTAATTTGAAATTCAAATTATCTAAATTTGAAATTAAAAAATTATTTTCTAATTTAGTTCACCTATTGTAGGAAAGTACTTGATTTAAATCAATTTGAATTTTAAATTCAAGTTGGATTTGTTTATTTACTTTACTAATTCATAAAGTTAATTTAGGAAGCCTTAATTCTCCCATTAAATGCTCCGCATGCCACCCCCCCCATCCCCCCAATGGGATTTGGGATTTATTTCCTAAATCCCCTCTATGAGGCTTGGCATTTACCTTCAGCCTTCTCATAGCCATTAAGGCTTGACTCCTCCATCAAATTAGTTTTAAGACTTAGGAAAGTAATAAATTAAATTCAATTCAAATTGAATTAAATTAAGAATTTTCCTAAAATAGATGAACTAAATTAG